TTCTTAAGATCTTGGTACATTTTTGTTATGTTTGGATGCATGCTTAATTTGTTTATATGCTTCTTTTAAGACCAACTTCTTAATCTCCACAAACACACATATCCTTCCATTAAATCTCAAAACTCCTGCCTTATCTATACCAAAGTTTTCTCCATTTTTTGTCCAGTCAACTTCTTTTTTCTTTTGAATGAATTCATCACTTACTTGAGCCTCATGGATTTGCCTTTATAAATCACTAGTAATCTGAATTGAACTTAATTTCATTCTATCAGGGCTTATAGTAATTAAAAAATTTATATATTTGAATTTTTCTAACAAATTCATCTCATGAATCATCGGTGAAGAGATATGTAATAATTTTCTGCTTAAAACGTTTGTCACTATATTTGCCTTTCTTTGATGGTAATGTAATTCAAAATCATAATCTTTCAAATATTTCATCAATCTTCTGAGTCTCATATTTAACTCTTTTTTATCAAACAAGTATTTAAGACTCTTATGATCACTAAAAACCTCAAACTTACCACCATACACATAATGTCTTCATATTTTAAGTGCAAAGACAATGACAGTTAGTTCTAGATCATGGTTGAATAATTTTTCTCATATACTCTTAGTTGTCTAGAAGCATATGTTACTACCTTTCTATCTTGCATAAGAACACATCATAATCTCATTTTGAAAGCATCGCAAAATATCATAAAGTGTCTAGTAGGGTTAGGTAATACTAACACAGGGAAGTGGTTAATCGTTTCTTAAACTCTTGAAAACTCTTCTCACATTTTTCTATCCATTCAAAAGTTTGACCTTTCATGGTGAGTTGGTTTAAAGACATAGCTATTTTAGAAAATCTTTCAATAAATCTTCTATAATTCACTACCAAACCAAGAAAACTACAAATCCTTTTAGTGAATCTCATTGTAAAATTGCTTCTATTTTAGTTGGATCCACTCGACACCCCTTCTTTGGAAAATATGTGGCCCAAGAATTTTACTTCTTTTAAAATCGAAGAACAAGTATGAACATGTTCTTCATGTTCTTTAAAAGTCTTGGAATAAAGTTAAGGACACCTCATTTCACAACCGTAATTAAAATATAAAATAGATAAAATAATAAATATTTCTTTCTTCCACCTTAGTAATCACATATCATTTACCAAAATTTTTATAGAGATATTTTATATATTTTCATTCTCTTTCTCTCTCTTTTTTTTTTCTCTTTCTCCCTTCTCTCCTTCACCCTCTCTCATTTTTTTTTTCACCATGATACTCTTTTTATATTCATATTTTCTAATTTTTCTACTTAATCATCAAATGCACCTTATCTTCATCTTATTGTATTATTTGTTTTTCACAATGCTTATCTCTTCTTTATATATATATATATATATATATATATATATATATATATATATATATATATATAATAATAATTTATCTTTAATAGATGTTTATTTATTTATTAATAATAATTTAATAGTATATTTTAATTCATAAATATTTTTTCTCCTTTTTATTAATAATTTAAATAATAATATTATTTTTTTAAATAATATATATTTTTAATAATAGTTTTTTTATAAACTATTTAAATTATCTAAAAATATTATAATTTAATACATTATATTTAAAAAAGTTTACGTAATAATTTTTGATATGTTATAGAGAGAAGAAAAAAATGGAAAAGAGAAAAAAAAAACAAATACTAAATAAAGACAAAGAAAGAAAAAAGAATAACAAGAAATAAATGAAAAAAAAATTTGAGAAAAGAAAAAAAAACTATATCATGCAAGACGTATTTATTTTACTTATTAAGATCTAAATGAATAAATAGACTTAAACAAATCTTATTTAAATAATTTATTTTACTTAACTTAGATTTTATTTCAATAATTTCTTTTAAAATATATCATTTATAAAAATGTTACTCTTGTAAATAATATTATGTTATAAATAATTATATAAAAATATAATATTATTTTCAAATCAAAATCTTAAAATATTTTGTTTATGAATTATTCAATTTTGATATTTTTATTCAATATAAAATATAAGCTATTTAGTATAAAATTTTAATTCGTATTTTGATTTATTTCTCACTGTAATTTTTTCTCATTTTAATTTTCCCTCAATTGTCTCCTTTCAACACATAAAATAATATTAACCTTTTGTATTTGTAAAATAATAAAAATTATTATACTTGTCAGAATTTAAAAAATCAAATGATCATAGCTTCTACACGGTCTACCTAAAAGACGACCTTATTTAAAAACCATACTAAATATTACATCAATTTAAAAACAGAGCTGATTCATGGTTTTAACCCTTTAATGGCAGATAAGCCCCTACCTCAAGACCAATAATCTACAGATAAACTAAAGAATGCTCAAATTCATGCTCTGATGGGTGGTATACAAAACACTCTGAAATCCTATTATCTCATTCTACATCTATTTCTTCTCTAAAGACACAATTCAGCAACTTTTCCTTTTACTCTATTCTGAAATTATTACTTCCATTTTCTAGATTTCTTGCCATACTTACATAGTATATAATGCTCTTGAAGCATGGTAAAATCATATATCAACTCACATATTGTTACTTTTTTTAAGAAAAAATTAGTTAATCTATAGTTCTATACTTGTGATACAAAAAATAAAAAATTCACACAAGGTAATATTGCACAAGTTCCAGAAAGTCCCAAATGGAACACGTGTAGTCTCAAGAATGTCCCCAAGATCCAACACGTGGTCACCAAATGGACTAATATACGACGTCGGATTGAGATGGAGCTGATAGCGACGTCGTTTTCATCCCTCACTGTATCTTGAGCGGGCTAATATACGTAAAAACACTTAAAAAGTTAAGAAAAGAAAATATCATTTGTTATAAAAAATGTTAGAAAATTAATAATATTAAATATATATATATGAGATTTTAAAACGTGTTAATAAATAAATGTTATTAAAGATCATCAAGTAGTGGTGAGATTCTTTATCACATGCCATGCATGTGCAGTAACAAAATAATTTGTTGTTTTTTATTTAAATAATAAATTGAAAATCTCAATTTAAAACATGAAGATTTCATTCTTTTCACTTTCATCATTACATAATTTTATCATTATGTTTTTTCGTTTTTTGAAAAACATATAAAAATATTTAAATTAACTAATAAAAAAATTTCTTTCAATAATCTTAATTTACTTTTATTTTATTCTCTTAATAATTTATTTATTGCAACATAAAAATAGCATTATATGATATTTTAAATTATTTATTTTAAAAGTGAAACATAAGTAATTTATTACAATAATAAATATTTTATTTTAAAATATCTATATTAAAATTTTACTTATCTAACCTTAAACATGCAACCAAGGCTACCTATTGCACATGCTAAAAGTGAATGAATGTAGAGTAGATTTAGCTTGGTAGTTGAGTTTTGAAAATTACACTCAGTTTAGATATATGTGACAGCCTGGCAGGAGATATGCTTGGTTTGGCAACCTAAAAATGTGGTTATTCTGTTAGTGTGGACCAATCATAATGTCATTGATAATCAACCTTTACATACAATAATCATAATGCTTTTCTTCACACTCGTACTCTTTTTTATATAAAATTCTCACATTACTTTTCTTTTTCTTTTCTCTTTTAAATATTTTTGCACAAATATAAACATATTAGATACAAATAAAAACAAGGTTAAATTAATCTCACTCAACTATTTTTAATTAACTATTTCATTTTGTGTTTATTTGTTATTAAATTCTGCCTTAGTTATTATTATTATTATTATTATTATTATCAAAGTTTAATCATGAAAATTAATTTATATCTATACTTAGTATAATCATTTTTATATGCGAATATTTTTAATACTAATCTAAATTATAATGATATATATTAAAATAAAATCAATTTACTTTGATACCTCTGCTTTTTTATTCAGTATAATTATTCTTGATATCATTAGTTATCTCTCCAAATGAGTATTTTCATATTTTTAGGTTTTAAAGAAGTATTTTCGGTCAAATTTTTCTTCTCCTATTTTCATAAAGTATCTTTCTTTTATAGATAGTGGAATGTCACTTTCTATATTTTATATTTTTTTATGTATTTACGTTTTTATATTAAATTTAAAGGGTTACTTTAGTGTTTTTAACAAAAATCAATAGATTAACAAAGTTGACTTTTGTTATTTCAAATGTCTCAACATGATAGTTCATGTGTTTTTAGAAAAGTATTTTATACTATTTATTTTAACCATTTAACACATAAACCAACTTTCATAACATACTTAATAATGTTTAAGTTAAAAATACAAGTAAACTTTTTAAGAACACTTGAGAATTTTAAATATAACATTTAACCTTTATAAATTTATCCAAGTTCCCAACTGATTTAAATACAATTAATTTTTCGTAACAATTTTACAAAAGAGTTTAATTAGCAAATAAATACAATTTGAAGGACCAATTTTAAAATAAATATTAGAAACTAATTACAAATTATCAAACAATAGTGTGATGCCATTAATCGTTTTGTATTATTATTATTATTATTATTATTATTATTATTATTATTCATGGAAATCAATTTATCAAATAATTATAGTAGTTAGAATTATGCCTAATTTGAACAATGAACAAAACAAACTTGCCATTTATAGTTTGAAACTAGATGACAAGTAACTACTATGAGCTTGGAAAACGTGGTTACTTATTGTGGTCAGATGAATAACTCTAAAGATCAGAACGTGCACAGAACACCATTACAAACAGTAAAATCAAGCAAAAAAGTCAACAATGAAATTTGGTACCGACGTAAAAGCAAAACTCAGAAGGAAGGAACAAGAAAAAATAAAAAATAAAAGGGATCTGTGATGAGTCATCACCCAGAACAAGACGCAAGTTCAATCCCACTATTATATATTATCATTTCATGGAGCATTTTTATCATTGTGTGTGAGAAGTGAGAAGAAAAGAGAGAAAGCAAGATGGCCATCTCAGTACCCAGTAGGCAACTTTTCATAGATGGGAAGTGGAAAACCCCCGTCCTCAACAACCGGATTCCGATCATCAACCCCGCCACTGAAGAGATCATAGGTTCCCCTTCTTTCTTCTCTTCTCGCAACTTGTGTCTAAACATTTCCAACATCATGGGGCCTTTTAATGTTTATGATTATGGCACGTGCATAGTTATATAGTAGTAATTAATAAGCACCTGTGTTTCTAAGTTGTGGCATGATGTGATTGGTGTTCAGGGGATATCCCTGCTGGTACCAGGGAAGATGTTGACCTTGCTGTGGATGCTGCTAAAAGAGCCTTGTCCCGGAACAAAGGCAGAGATTGGTCATCAGCTTCTGGTTCTGTTCGTGCTGGTTATCTTCGAGCCATCGCTTCAAAGGTTGTAATTTTATTTTTACTTTGATTCATTAAATGAGTGTTGTCGTTCTCGGACATGTATACAGCAGTGAAAAGATCAAATTACAGATTTACAATTACTAGTTACATCAACAGGGATATTAACTGTCAAAAAAAAAAAAAACAACTAGCATATCAACTTTTTGTTGAATAAATTTATTTTAGGATTTACTGTTAGATTAAAAGTTTGTTAGTTATAAAAAAAATATAAAAATATAACTATATAGTTGTTCAACCCTTTAAATGCCCTTCTGGGTATTTTGAGAAATTAGTCTCTGATTTTCTTTATGGAGGATACTCCAGGTTTAAAACTAAATTGATCAATAGAGATCGTAGATATTGACTCAGATGTGCATGTGTTAACACCTTACTGTATGTGCCTTTCTTTGTCAAAGATAACGGAGAAAAAGGATGAACTAGGAAAGCTTGAAGCAATTGATTGTGGAAAACCACTAGATGAAGCACTGGCAGACCTGGTAGATGACATTTATTTACATTGGAAAAAACAATGACTGATGTTTCCATGAGTTTTTTGCTTATTTGGATCTTTAATTTTATCTTGTAGGATGATGTTATTGGTTGTTTTAACTACTATGCTGAGCTTGCGGAAGGGTTGGATGCAAAGCAAAAGGCTCCTATATCCCTCCCTGTGGAGAACTTCAAGAGTTATGTTCTCAAGGAGCCTATTGGGGTTGTTGCATTAATTACTCCATGGTATCCTACTAGGCTCTGTTTCTTTATTTAAACTAGTTATGCATTCTTTTTCAATGTAATTTACAGGCTTATACTTTCTTTATAAACTGAACATAGGTCCATCCAATGAGGCCCTAAGTGAAATATAGTTTGTGTACAGATTAGCTTTTTTTTTTTTTCTAGTGTTCTTCCCTGTTAGAGAGGCCAGACGACATTGGCACAGATTGTTTTTAGTTTACTTTCACAAGAAATTGATGTATTCACGTTATCAATGATGTCGATTGTTAAATCGAATGTCTTGAATTTCTAATGAAATGATGTGGTTTATGTTATGTGTTAGGAACTATCCTCTCTTAATGGCTACATGGAAAGTTGCTCCAGCGCTGGCTGCTGGTTGTACTGCAATTTTGAAGCCATCTGAACTGGCATCTGTGTATGTTAAAATCAACTATTGCAACCCTTGATTTCTAGTTAGGTTGGTCTCTTATGCTGTTATATCATTTACAAATTTAGGACCTGTTTGGAGCTGGCTGAAATATGCAGAGAAGTGAACCTTCCTCCAGGGGTGTTAAATATTGTTACTGGATTAGGCAATGAAGCTGGTGCTCCTTTGTCAACTCATCCTAATGTAGACAAGGTTTCAACCGTTTTAAGTTATTAGTGGATCAAATTCTAATTATATTTCGTGCAAGTATTGTTGAAGTGCTGTCTATGATTTTTGACAAGCTACAGTGCTATTGTAGCTGATATTTAATTTTTCAACAGATTGCCTTTACTGGAAGCTCTTTAACTGGAAGCAGGATTATGACAGCTGCAGCGCAGCTAACTAAGGTATTTTGTAAACAGTTTTATCTGCAAATTATGTGCAATTCATGTTGTCCTTCTGTTTTAAAAGCTGGAGGAGACTAAGGAACATACATACAGAAGAAATGATGGAAAATATTTGTTGTTATTCCTTTCATATCTTCATTCTCTTTTTTTGTGAGATCATGTAATATCAAATTTGTTGTTTCTCATTGGCAGCCTGTTTCTCTAGAGCTTGGTGGGAAAAGCCCAATCATTGTTTTTGAGGATGTTGACCTTGATAAGAGTAAGTGATTTTTATTTTGTTATGGGCAGCCTAAGTTTTCTAGCATTGTGGAAATACATTTCCATGAAACTGATTGTGTGCTTGTGGATGAGTGCGCTTTGGGTACCTAGAACCGATTACAGAATCAAAACAGTCGGTCATATACCATCTCTAATTTGCTATTTTACATGATTCAAACAGCTGCTGAATGGACAATCTTTGGCTGCTTCTTTACAAATGGTCAGATATGCAGTGCAACATCTCGCCTTATTGTTCATGTAACCCATTTCATCCATAACACATTTCCCTGTTCACAAACAACTATTTGTAGCTTACTTTTCTTATTTTACCCTATAAATGGGAAGGTTCAGATATACTCAGATAGTGGTAGCATTTTGTCTGTAAACTTTGTTTAGCTAAGTTTTCAACATTGATAAAGTTGATGCTTTTACTGATTCAGGAAAGTATAGCAACAGAATTTGTGAATAGACTGGTGAAATGGGCCAAAAACATCAAAATTTCAGATCCCTTGGAAGAAGGCTGCAGGCTAGGACCTATTGTTAGTGAAGGACAGGTATGTTTAATGTTTATCACTTCTGTATTTGCTATCTATTAACTTAGCTTAGTCCCTCCTCTTTCTGCTTTTAGCAAAGATATATTTTGAATATCTGGTTACTACACCGTGTTCCATTTCTTCCCCTAATGCGATGTAGTTTTAGGTTTAAGGTATTGTGTGAAGTTGATAGATTAATCCTGAAAATCTACTGCTAACATATACCTCTGAATTTCTGCTTGTGTTTATTCAAATGCATTCTTCCATTATCCAAAATGAAAAGTTATTGCTGTTTGATAGCAGTGATTGTGATCAAGTCGCATCGCATGTAGTATATAGTAATCAGGTTATATGAAGAAAATTTAAGTGGTTGTTTATATGAAGAAAATAGGTTTTTGGTGACATTGTTTATGAACTTACTTGTCACTAACCAAGATCTATATCTAATATTTGATTTACATGATTCAGCATAAAAAGGTATTGAACTTTATCTCAACCGCCAAGAGTGAAGGTGCAACAATTTTGACTGGAGGGTCTCGTCCAGAGGTATGATGATACACTCTAGTATCTGTCCGGTTATTTATTTTTTCATGTCTTCAGAAATGATAGAAATTTCAAATTTTACGGCAGCATTTGAAGAAGGGATACTTTGTTGAACCAACCATCATAACTGATGTGACTACATCGATGCAAATTTGGAGAGAAGAAGTTTTTGGACCTGTACTCTCTGTGAAAACATTCAGTACCGAGGAAGAAGCTATTGAACTAGCAAATAACACCCAGTGAGTTCATTATTTTTCTAGAAACTGTATAATAGTTTCACCTGTAAACTACTCTAGAAAAATAGATTAACTGAAATATGATTTTTATTATATCAATACAAAGAGATGATATAAGATATATACAAGAGACCTAAACTATTTTAGGAAATATAATAACTCTATTTTATGCTAGGATCCCTTGATTTATGGGATTGTTCCTAATTATTCAAATCATGACAGATTACAAGGAAATATACAAATTTCCTTATTTATTCTTTCCTAAAATACTATTTGATTTCTTACACTCCCCCTCAAGCTGGTGAATAGATGTTTTCCATTCCCAGCTTGGATACAATCTTCTCAAAATTATGGCAGCCCAGTCCCTTGGTAAGAATGTCTGCAATTTGGTCTTGAGAGGACACATATGGAGTGCATATCAAGCCACTATCAAGCTTTTCTTTGATGAAGTGTCTGTCTACTTCAATATGCTTTGTTCTATCATGCTGCACTTGGGTTGTGGGCTATACCTGATTGCTGACTTATTATCACAATAGAGCTTCATAGGTTCTTCCCACTTTATCCTCAAGTCTTCTAAGATGATTTTAAGCCATAGCAACTCACATATACCTTGTGCCATGGCTCGGAATTACTGCTTCAAGACTTGGACCGAGCCAAGTACACCCGCTTTTTGTTTCTCCAAGTCACAAGATTTCCTCCAAGAAAGGTGCAATATCCTCGTAGTTGACCTCCTATCCACATTGACCCTGCATAATCGGCATCGGTATAGGCTTAAAGCTTCACATTACCATTCCTTTTGAATAGAATCCCTCTTCCTGGAGTTCCTTTAAGGTACCTGTAAAATTCCGTGGGCAGCTTGTAAATGGGTCTCCTTTGGGCTATGCATAAATTGGCTAATTAAACTCACTGCATAGGCAATATCCGGCCTGGTATGTGACAAATATATAAGTCTGCCCACTAATCTTTGGTACATATCTTTTTCAACGAGCAACATCTTCTTCTCGCATTTCCAAGCTTTAGGTTTGGTTCTAATGGGGTACTAGCGGGTTTGCAAGCTGCCTTGCCAGTTTCCTTGAGCAAATCGGTGATGTATTTCTGCTTGAGATATAAATATCCCTTTCTCGGAGTGGGCAACTTCAATTCCCAAAAAATATTTTAGTTTTCCCAAAGTCTTGATCTCAAATTCCTTGCCTAAGCATTGACTCAATTGTTGCTCTTCTTTATTATCTCCAGTTAATATTATGTCATCCACATACACCAATAATATTGTTACTCCCCCGACTTGGAATGTTTAAAAAGAAAGTATGGTCCCCTTGGCTTTGTTTGTAACCCGACACTGTCATAACTTTAGTAAACCCGCCAAACCATGCACGGGGGACTGTTTTAACCCATATAATGCCTTTTTCAACTTGCAAACGAGTGTTGGCAGCAACATCTTTACCATATCCGGAGGTATCTCCATATAGATTTCTTCTTCAGGGTCTCCATGTAGGAAAACATTCTTAACATCAAATTGTTCCAAGTTCCAACCATAATTGGCAGCAAGGGACAATATCACCCTAACTGTGTTCATTTTGGCAACCGGAGCAAAGGTCTCAAAATAATCAACTCCATAGGTTTGGGTGAACCCTTAACTAGTCTTGCCTTATATCTCTCAATTGATCCATCAGCCTTGTATTTCACTTGTATAGACCCATTTACATCCAACTGGCCTCTTTCCTATTGGTAAGGTGACTAACTCCCAAGTGTTGTTCTTCTCCAATGCCTCCATCTCTTCATCCATGGCTTGCCTCCATTTTCTGATCGAACAATGCCTCGAGATAGGGTATTAGGTAGAAGTATAGTGTTTAGGTTTACTAGGAAGGTTTTATGGGTAGGAGAGAAATTTTTAAAGGACAGGTAATTTGAGAGAGGGTAGAGTGGTTGTTTGGTGCATTTTCTTGTTCCTTTTCTAATGGCAATTGGGAGGTCGAGAATCATTTTGGGTTTCAATTTCAACCTGCACAGCTGGAGAAAAAATTGTTACCTCTTTTTGTGGAGTCGAGTTGGATTCTTGAACATGGCTTGATCCTGGAATGGCCTTAGTCTTCCTTGAGTACACCAGACTTCTTACCAAATTTTCCAGTTTCAACATCTTCTTGATCAGCTTCACAATTAATTTCACTTTCTTGACCAACTTCCTTTGCTTGACCAATTCCTTGACTTGTTTCATTTGTTACAACTTCAATTTGATCTTCAATTTGATCTTGTTTAGGTTCAAATATCAAGTCTGGAAGAATGGGAAAACCAGAATTACTACTTTCAATATGATTTCGTTTAGGTTCAAATGTCATGTCTGGAAGAATGGGAAAACCAGAATCACTACTTTCCTTATCTTCCCTGAAACTCTCCCCTTGAAGATAAGGTTGATGGAAATAGCCCTCTTGTTCATTGAAGGTAACATCCCTAGACACAAAGAATTTTTTGGATGGGGGGTGGTAGCATTTATACCCTTTTCGAGTGGGTGAGTAACCAACAAAGACACACTTTAAGGCTCTAGGATCAAGTTTTCCCCTGTCTGTACTATGAATATGGACATATGAGATGCACCCCAAAACTCTTGGTTTAAGATTATTTGTAGTAGACAAGTTTGGATAGAAAGACGACAAAACTTCCATAGGGCTTTTTGATCCTAAGACTCTAGAGGGTAGTCTATTGATAAGGTATGTTGCTGTAAGGACAGCTTCCCCCCAGAAATTTTTTAGGACACTTTTTTGGAACAACAATGCCCGAGTCTGATTTAATAGATGTCCATTTTTCCTCTCTGCGACCCCATTCTGTTGTGGTGTTTTGACACAAGAGGACTCATGATTATACCTTCTTTTTGACAAAAAAAATTAAGGACATGATTGAAGTAATCTTTGGCATTATCTGACCTAAGCCTCTTAATATTAACACCAAACTGATTTTTTATCATGGAGTGGAAGTTTAGGAAGACATAACTGACTTCTGATTTTTGTTTAAGTAGGAAAACCCAATTGACCCTTGTACAGTCATCTATAAAGGTGACAAACCATCGAGTACCAGACACATTTGGAATATTAGAAGGTCCCCATACATCAGTATGAACAAGATAAAAAGGGAAATTGCTAATTCTATTACTTATTGGAAAAGATATACGTTTGTGCTTAGCAAGTTCACACACCTCACAATGAAGACTCTCAACATCTAACTTGGTAAACAGAGAGGGAAATATAATTTTGATTACTCCAAAAGAGGGGTGTCCCAACCGACAATGATAAAGCATGATTTTTTCTCTGTTGGTCATCAAGGATTCAGATATGAAGGAGTGAGAGATTCTATTCTTGCTGGGCAGACTTGGATATGTACAGATTTGAATCATCCTCCCCGAATTCTTATCCTGAAATACACAATGATCGTTGGAAAAAACAACTTTACATGACAAATCCTTTATAAGTTTTTGTATAGACACTAGGTTCGTGGACAACTTTGGGACATGGAGAACGTCTTTTAAGGTTATTAAAGGATTGATTTGGATATTTCCTTGACCAGCTGCAGTTATAAGGGTTCCATCTGCTGTGACAATTTTCTTGTTGCTGGGACATGGGGAATATGTGGAGAAGTGTTTGGCTAATGGTGTCATATGATCTGTGGCTCCGAGTCCAATATCCAATAATGGTTAAAAGGCGTATCTCGAGACATTTAATCCAAAAGAAGGTGGAAACTTACCCGAGTATGCCAAAGAACACATACCCGTAGGTTTTTCCAGCTTAATAAGAATGGTTTTCACCCTTTCTATCTCCTCTTCCCTTGACATTATAGCAAAAAGGTGCGATGCAACAACAATGCAGTCTGTCGTCTTAGGATTATAAAAAATGTAGCAGCAATGCAGGCTGTCGTCTTAGGATTAAGAAAAATGCAGCAGCAATGTAGGCTGCCGTCTTAGGGTTAAGAAAAATGCAGCAGCAATGCAGGCTGCCGTCTTAGGGTTACAAAATATGCAGCAGCAATGCAGGCTGCCGTCTTAGGGTTTATCGAGCGCAGACAAAGCTTCCTAGATCGGAAGCTCTGATACCATCTGGAAAAATAGATTAACTGAAATATGATTTTTATTATATCAATACAAAGAGATGATATAAGATATATACAAGAGACCTAAACTATTTTAGGAAATATAATAACTCTATTTTATGCTAGGATCCCTTGATTTATGGGATTGTTCCTAATTATTCAAATCTGTACAGATTACAAGGAAATATACAAATTTCCTTATTTATTCTTTCCTAAAATACTATTTGATTTCTCACATCTACTTTTTCTTAACTTGTGCATTGATGTTAATCAATGTCGTATATAATTTGTTGTTTCACAGATACGGCTTAGGTTCTGCTGTGATGTCAAAAGATCTAGAAAGATGTGAACGCCTATCTCAGGTGAGACGGATCCTATACTATCATAAAACGGACAAAACATGGATTTTCTGTAATTGAAAGCTTTACACTTTATATGACTTTTGTGCAGGCTATTAAGGCTGGCATTGTATGGATAAATTGTGCTCAACCAAGTTTCATTCAAGCCCCATGGGGAGGCATAAAACGTAGTGGTTTTGGTCGTGAATTAGGAGAATGGTATGACCCTTATGTGTTCTCTCACACTCTTTTCAATAAACTTTCTTTGTTAGTTGGAATTTGCTTGGGTTAAACTAGTTTGTGAATAGAACATGCCAAATGGGGAATGAGACTTGTATATTTAGTGTACTGCTTGTGAGCATTTCTCAAATACAAATTTGATGAGGCTGTATCTGAGACTGTTTTGTCCTCTAAGAATCTGGGTCTAAGTTTTTGTTTATTATTTCAGGGGACTTGAAAACTACTTAAGTGTGAAGCAAGTGACCAAGTACATATCTGATGAACAATGGGGCTGGTATTCGTCACCTTCAAAGCTGTGATCCAAATTGGGGTTCTAAAATCTGGCATGAAATAAGGTGTGTGCGAACACAGTTGTGATAATGATCTTATGTCGAGAAAACATTGTATAATGTGTACATGTAACAATACAATTGTTTGATGGTCATGTTAGTGATGGGTTGTGTTGATTATCTTATTGCTTTTGGTGGTCCCTCTCCAATATTTGAATGGCTTCGTAATAGACATTGTTTTTAACAAAGTTTAGATGCAATTTCTTTCTGTTTGTTTTTTTAACGTGTCTTTAAATGCAAACTTTTTATATACATATTAGTAAAGTGAAGCTCCAATTATGATAGAGAACATTATTAAATGTTTCTAAAAGTGATATAAGTTGCAAGGAAGTCCTCAATCTGATCACAATATTTTTAAATTACCCTGGTGATACTACAGTTAGTCATTTACAAAATTAAGGGTTTACGCAAGTAAAAATAACCCAATACTATAGATTTAGGTGTCTAAAATTAAATTAAATTGTTTTAAATCATCAATTGACTAAGAAATTTTAAAATAATTAAATTGAAAACGAAAACTTATTTTTCTTAAATGTCATTTTCATATTTTAACCATGGTTTAATAATTATTGGATTTTTTTTTATTTTATCAGTTGCCAGATTAAAATATTTTTTAAATATAAAAATAAATTAAAAAAAATCAAACCATGCCAAACTTTCTTTAAAATTAGTGTGATTTGATTAGAATTTAGTATTACATTCATACCCAATATATATAATTTTTGTTTGATTTATACCTTTTTTTTGTTAAATGTCTCTGTTCAACGTACTAACATAAGTTCAATAGAAGAATTTATTTTTAAGATTTTAATATGGTTTTCGTCTCCAAAATTTAGAGTAAATAATTTTTAGTTATTTAAATTAAAAAAATTATTTTAATCTCTCAAGTTTAACAAAAAATAATTTTAATCTTAAATATTAAATTTGAATTAAAAATAATTTTAAAAAATAATTTTAATCCTTTAAATAATTTTAAAGATTAAAAACATATATTTAAAAATTTAAAAGATTAAAATAATTAAAAAAAATTAAAGACTAAAATCATAATAGCTCTAAATTTTTAAAATTAAAAAATATATTAAGTATTCTTTTAAAATATATTTTAGCCCTCATAAATTATTAATTTTTGATAAATTTAGTGTCTCCTCTTTGATAATTTTTATAAAAATATAATCACTTTAAAAATAAAAATATAATTATCAGGGATGAAATTTTTAAAATTAAAATAAAAAATCTTATTAGAAAGCAAACAAAAAACATTATTTTGCTGATTCTCGGTATAAATCATTCTCATTAATAAAAGTTGTTGCGTAGCATAACTAGGGTTAATATAAATTGAAAAAAAAAAAAGAGTTTATTGACATTTGCAATTCTTAAAACCCACGTTTTTAAAATGGGATCAATTATTAAATCGGTAAAGACATAAAGGTTGAATTGGAATCTACCTGAATTTAATGAATTAATATATTAATAATATAATAAATATATAATAAATTTATTAATAATAATATTTTAATAAAAAATAATAAATATTATTATAATGATTTTCGTAAAATATAATAAAAATTATAAATATAAAATATATTAAAAATATAAAATAAATAATTGTTAAAATAAGATAAAAATGTAATAAAATAAATATTATTTAAAATTGACATAATTAATATAAAATAAAAAAATTGAAATATATTATTTTTTATAAAAATTTGATCTTAAATATTTGTTTATTATTGAGATCTATTTATTAAAAAAATCTAACCAAAATTTTTGATTTTGTTCTAATTTTTAAATTTTTTTATTTCAATTTAATTAAAATTTAATTATTTTAAAATAATGAATCGATTTTTAATCAGATTCCGATTGAATAGCCCTATTCAGGTGGATTTTAAAACAACTTATCTACAATCATATATCACCATTTTTCTTTTAAATTAGGAAGTGTATTACATTTTTTATCCAACTCTCATGAGTTGGGTATGAGTGATTTTGTATGTGTTATTTTTTTTCCTTCTTTTATATGATTTAGCATGGACTTATTAATTTTTCCATTTGGATTCCTTGATGTTAACTGTACCTACTCCACTTGGAGAATTGTGGATAAATAGTCCGAGATATTAAAAACATATATTTTAGTATTATCCGAAATACTTAGAAATAATTATGAAACGTTTGAGATATATATGCTATCCGTTATAATCTTAACATTATTATATAACAAGTTTTATATGTTCTTTATTTAACTATTTGATCACTTTTACTTATTTGTATACTTATACATTAAATAATGTTAAGTCAAATGAGATTTTAGTACTATATTAAAACAAATAATTTGAGTGAATGGTTAATGAATTTAAACCCCCGAACACGTAGGGAAATTTTGTGTAATTTTTACAATGAAATAATCCTTCAGAAAGTAGGTTACAATAATAATGTTGTTCGTTGTGAGGGTGCATCTAATGCAACGTTGGGTTGCTTAATCATGAAGAGAAACAAAGTTCAACCATTCTTTAGTCCCTACTTTTCCACCATCTTGATTTAAAAGTAATTGATGGAGAGGTTGGGTATTAATGTCACATGATTGGTGTAACAATTTGTCTTTCTCAAGTTTTAGAATCCACACTTCACTTTTTCCCACCTCATCATCAAAACAACTTCGTTAACAATCACTTTCCCTTCTTTCTCACTATTTTTTCCCTTCAAGCAAGGGATTGCATGGCCTCGTATCCTTCTTACATAGTTCTTTCTAACATAACATTGAAATCCAATTTATTGATTCATTTGTGATAACTTTTACAGTAAAATGTGTGACAATTTCTTATAATTGTTTGTTTTTTTTCTCTCTCTCTCAAATTATGATTGATAATTGCATAGCAGGTAAGGGGTTAATTAGTTATTCAATTTTCTCTTTATCCTTTTGTACGATATATACTTGGAGACAGATTATTGATCCTTCCTTTTCTCGTCCTCATCATTTGTGCCATTTCATACCAAAATTTCAGCCAATGCAATTATGTTTGTTAGGTTGAACTCAACTTCAAAGTATGTAACATTTCAAATTAAGGAGTTTGATTTTTTTTAAAAAGAAAATGCAGTTTGGAAGATACATAATAACATACTTTATATTAACCATTTGCATTTGTAATGAATTTTAAAATTTACCACACATTGCATGTGTATTTAATTTTATCACTTTTTTTAATTATTAATTTTCCAACCAACCAATACTAATGCACGTTTTTAAGAAGTTAAATCTAAAATTAAGATTATTCTAATTGTAAATTATCACAAATTTATGTTGTTAAAAATATTGAATTAAAAATATTTATTAAAAGCAAAAAAGTTTGTTCTCTACGTAATTTTAAGATCTATTAAATTTGTTAGTTGCATTACTAGCCCAAGTACCTTATTTAAAATAGAGTATCACTCCCCCTCAAATTCTTGATATTTTCAATTTTAATTATTATATTGTCATATCTTATGTGATTGATCTTATTATTATTTTTTTCACAAGGAATGTACACGCTGAGAATGCAAAAGAGAAAAAGAAAAAGAAAAAAATCTTGTGTAAAAATATATATAGGGACAAAATCTGTTTACAGTATTATTAATATAAAAATGGGTCCTTTAAAATGGGAGGAAAGATGGAAGGAGACGATGGTAACTATACATGTTTGTAATTTTAATCAACACCTTTTTCTTTTTCTTAATACTTTTTTGGTTCCCTTCACAGCATGATTATTATTGGTCTAAGTTTTTTTAATAGGGTCAGATCCAACTCGGATTATTAATTATATAAATTGTTCCACGATATACACCCTAACTCTCAAGTGAATCTATCTAATCATTACTATTATTATTTAATTACACATAAAAGATGAATTAGGTGAAATACGACGATAAAAACATTAGGATGATAACAAGGTTTGTAGCTCCACCATGCAGCAAGGATCGTGAATGAAAGATACATTATTAAATATCTAACTATGGGTTGAGCGCCATGTAAAATAGATTTAAAAAATAAAACATCATCAAAATAATGTCATTTTTAAAAAATTATAATAAAACTATTTTGTGTTGATTTTCTGTGACATACCAAGACGTTGTTTTATATTTAATAGATCAGTAAAACATATGAAAATTAAAAAAGAAAAAGATTACAGTAAAATGTATAAAAGGATTTAATAATAAAATTTAAAATATAATAGTAATAATAAATAAATAATAAAATCTGCAATTAAACCAACTTATTAAGATCCGCAAATTACATACATTTTTCATCACTATTTAAGTAGTAGTTAATATGTTAATTAAATAAAAACATAAATGTTTTTAATTATTAGCTTCTCAATCAATGTCATGATTAAATAAAAATGGATTATTTCTTTGTAAATTAATCTTGTCAATAGTATTATAGTACGAGTGGGTGCACGTAACATAGTCAAAATAAATAAACACAGTGAAAATAAAAAAATAGAGCACGAAATGAAAAACGCAAATCGAACAGTGTAAAATGTACTGAGTTGTTTGTTTATATGTACCGACAACGAAACTTGGTGTGATCTGATAAGCAAATCCAACACAACCCTCATCTAATCTCAGCCCCGAAACTGCATTGCAGTTTCAGATATTTTGTTCGTTTCTCTCTCTCTCTCTCTCTCTCTCTCTCTCTCTGTGTGTCTGTGACATCAATGACCTCACTCTGAACTCTGAAACTGAACCTTATTTTCTCTTCTCTCGTGTCTTAACTGTTTCAGGGCGTCCAAGTTTCTCTCTGTTAGTCAAAATGGTTAATGCAAATGAGAGGGTCGTCGCTGTGATCATGGTTGGAGGACCCACTAAAGGTATTCCGCTCCATTCTCTTTCATTCATTCACAGCACAATTTTGATTCACTCAAGGCCACTTCACCATTTCACAATTCACTAATTTCAATTTCTATTGTTAGTCTCTTCAGTTGAGACCACACACATTGGTTTATCATGTTATATTAAATGTGTGTTTGGCCAAGCTATGACAAAATTGATTTTGAGGTTATGTGATCTATGTTGGATCTTTTCGTTGTAAAGGCAAGTTAGCAGTATACTCAGTTAAAGTTTTGATCCAATCCAAAAGATGCGTGAATTTGTTTCAACTCAGAATTAATTCTAGACCTTGAATCAATTCCTTAATGTGAAACTAAACTTGTGAATATTTACTTAAAATCATGATAACTGGTATTTTATTATGATTTTGGAGAATGATTCGTTTATCTACGCTTGATTATGATTCCATAGTTTTTGTTATTTTTGCATTTGCAGGTACTAGATTCCGGCCATTGTCATTCAACATACCCAAGCCACTTTTTCCACTAGCAGGACAACCAATGGTTCATCATCCAATTTCTGCTTGTAAAAGGGTAAACTATACATAATTGAACACCATTTGAATATTTTTAAACTAATAATAATAATTGCCATATCTTGTATTTATGTATAAACTGCCAAGTACCTAACTGTTATTGTGTCCCAGATTCCTAATTTGGCTCAGATTTATCTGCTTGGTTTCTATGAGGAACGTGAATTTGCCTTATATGTCTCTTCTATCTCAAATGAGCTTAAAGTCCCTGTTAGGTTTGTTGTCTTTTCTTTCTATTAATCTTTTGTAACCTTTAAGATTGGTCACTTATGTCATTTCTGCTGTAATATTAGATACTTGAAGGAAGACAGACCACATGGTTCGGCTGGTGGTCTTTATCACTTTAGAGATTTGATCATGGAAGACGATCCGGTTTTTATCTTTACCTATGGCTTTGTCCATGCTTGATTATATCCTACATGTGTTTTGTGTTCAGAAAGTTTCTCTATGGGGCTTGATTGTAATGTTTTATGCCCTAGTGCTTGTGTTATATGTTTCGATAGTGTTTTTCATGTTTTGTATGGCAGTCACACATCTTCTTGCTGAACTGTGATGTTTGCTGCAGTTTTCCCCTGCCAGATATGCTGGGTAATTTCTGTTCTGAAATAGACTATTTTCTTCTACTTGCAATTTTTTGACGCTGGAGTTCCTTTGCAGAATAGCAACTTTTAGCTTCCTTGATATCTCTTGACTGTTATGTGGCTGTGGCAACAATTAATTGTGCAATTTTGTTTACTTATGCTTACAGATGCTCACAGAAGATATGGTGGGATGGGAACAATACTAGTTGTGAAGGTTGGAGAACACCCACACACCCACACACTGTATTTTTAGCATTATTTTTTGTTGATTAGCATCCAATTAATATTGTTATTCTTCCCCCTTTTTGAAGGTTTCTGCAGAGTCAGCGAGCGAGTTTGGGGAATTAGTAGCTGATCCAACAACTAATGAACTATTGCATTATACAGAGAAACCTGAAACTTTTGTATGTTCATCATGTGCTTATGCCTTGAATTGCTAAACCAAAAATTTGAAAAATTTCCTCTCCTCCCTGCTGTTGTTACTTTCTTACACTACCAGATTACTTGAATGCAGGTAAGTGATCGTATAAACTGTGGAGTGTACATTTTTACACCAGATATCTTTACAGCCATCGAGGGTGTTTCTACACAGCGGAAAGACAGAGGTCAGAAAAATATCTAAGGCTGCTCCATACGGACTATTTTAGAAGAAAAAAAACTTCTCCTTTAATTTCAAAATGTAAAAATTTTCATATTATTTTATTGTTCTTGACATACAGAATTGAAGATAACTGTTGTTTGCTTTCCTATATCTTAACTCACTTTACTTGCAGCTAACCTAAGACGTGTTTCCAGTTTTGAAGCAATGCAACCAGATCCAAGGTTTGTACTTACGAAAAGCCAAGAGATTTAGCATCAACTACAAAAATTCATGCAATGAGTTAGAACTTAAATTGTAGTCAAGGATCCCTGCAGTTTGCTTATTTAATAATCAATCATATATCATTTTTTCGTATTTTCTTATTTTATAAAGTGGATGCATATTACATATATTAAAATTGTAACATTTATTGAGTTTGACAAATAGGTGTTGAATCGCTGATTAATAATATTCAGTTCACTTGGTTAAGCTTGTTATTTGTCACAGAACAGAGGCATTTAAGAACAAGCTTCCTTGACTCCCATATAAGCAAAGTTAAAGTTGGAAATTATACCTAAGAAATATTTCCAATGTGATCCTACCTGAATGAACAAATCAAGTATGACAAGGAATTTTAAATTTTATTATTTCTATCCTAGTTTGATCAGATGGTTTATTGCCTTGAATTTATTTCTGGAAATTTAGTACCTGCTTACATATCTGGTAAAAAATAGTATTTCTGATATGAAGTTATAATGTGCTTGCCTGTTTATCAGGCACAACATTACTGTGCCTTTTGGAACGTGGTTTCTTTGGGTGGACTTTACTTGCAATGCAGAGGGTTCAAAACCTACCAGAAGCAACTTGTTACCCAGGGCAGTTATGCCCAAGTGAGGATTAGTCCACACACCTTGTGGTCTTACCAAAAATGTTGTAAAAAAATAATTAAATTGGGGGTTTAATAATTTTTGTTTGCGTGGAGCCACCTCAGGATACATGCTGCTTTTTCTGCCTCTGAAGTTCTTATTTCAAAGCCATATTTATATTATGTGCAACTTACAAGGTTTATTGTAACATCTGATTCTGAAGAGTTCTTTTGCAGGACTCTTCCAGCAAATTATGTCAGATTGGATCAAGATATCCTCTCACCTCTTGCAGGGAAGAAGCAGTTGTATATTTATGAAACCAATGACTTCTGGGAACAAATCAAAACTCCAGGGTAAGCCTGAGTATATGTTACACATTTTCATCATTTCCTCCATGGCGATTATCATATATATTGACTTAATGCTTGCAGAATGTCCATAAAATGTTCTGGCTTATATCTTGCTCAATTTCGTTACACATCCCCCCATCTATTAGCGAATGGAGATGGTATTAAGAAAGCCCACATCACCGGTGATGTTTTTATTCATCCATCCGCAAAAGTGCATCCATCTGCTAAGGTGAATATTCACCTGTTTTTCCTGATAATTAACTGGAGGCTTTCGTTGTCTTCTCAGTTTCTCTGTTTCAGTTATGGTAGACATGATGATTTTTAAATTTTGTGACAGCTTAAGAATATTATTTATTTGTCCTTCTCATGCATGATATACTTAATTTTCCTATAGGTTTGTTTTCATGTTGTAATTTATGGACGAATTGTATATCTGTGGCACTTGATCTGAGTCAGGAACATAGACTTTTTATTGAATGCACATCATGTAGTCCCCACCCAAATGAAAAAAGAAAAAGAGAAGAAAATCTAGATGACATGAAGAATCCAACTGACATGAAAATTGACTTTTGTAAACATTGTTGAACAGATTGGTCCAAGTGTATCAATATCTGCAAATGCTCGTATAGGAGCGGGTGCACGACTAAAAAGTTGTATCATCCTTGATGATGTAGAGATCAAGGCAAGTGTAGAGTTAATTGGTTTGAATTGCACAAGTGTTTTGGAGCTCAAATCTTTTATATTTCATCTTACAGGAAAATGCTGTTGTTAGTCATGCAATTGTTGGATGGAAATCCTCTATTGGAAGATGGGCACGAGTCCAGGCAAGTTAGACTTTATTTTAATTAAATTATATTGTTCCACCACATAAAAGGCATGCATTGTATATCGTGCAACATATCCATGGCTCTCAAGATTGATCAGAAACAGTTATTATGATGCGTTCGGTCTAGTTAACTAGACAGAAAATATTCACCTGCATGACTAGCTTTTTATGCATCTCGAATCTAATGCATGGTCCTATAACAGCCTTGGAGACTTAAATATCAAATAGTAAAAAAAAAAACCAAATATTTGGCTGAATTTGTCTTCATTTTCAGCAAAGATATATCTAAACTATTACCATTATCAGCATGTGATAATAATATGAATTTAACAATCACGGTCATGAGTTTGGAGGAGTTTATTCATGCCATCTATTCTTCATATCAGGGTCGTTCTCAATGCCCTGTTAATAGAGTGTTTTGGGAGTCATCTTACATGTTGAAAACATGGAAATTATCCTCTCTCCATCCACTTTTACCAATCACATTAGAAAATTCGAGTCCCATTTTATTGTCATTTTAGAAAACTAGTCATTAATTAATCCTTGTACTAGCTTTGATTTTATTCACTTTTTGTTTGCTAAATTGGGAATACTAAATCAGGCTAGTGGAGATTACAATGCAAAGCTTGGGGTAACTATACTTGGTACCGCTCTTAACTTTGTCTACATTTTTATGCTTTGTCTTTTATTTATTTATTACAATGTAAATGAAAAGTTAAATTACTATGAAATTCTTGTTTCCTTGCTTTGATCAGGTGAATCTGTAACAGTTGAGGATGAGGTGGTGGTTTTTAATAGCATTGTTCTGCCACATAAGGCCCTAAATGTGGGTGTTCAAGATGAGATTCTTTTATAGAACTTTCGTGGCTTCCGTTGTTGGCTTTTTATTTTCTTTGTTATTTTATCTGCTGTGACTTGTGTTTAATTTAATATCTAGTTTGTAAACTGATCAAAACAGAGGACATCATCCATTTTCCCACAAATTTTTCTGTTCCCAAATCAATATATTCATTTTGTCACACATTATATGTTGCTATTTTAATGAAGAAATTAAAGTATATCCAATATATATATATATATATATATATATATATATATATATATATATATATATATATATATATATATATATATATATATATATATATATATATATATATATATATATATATATATATATATATATCGAAAGGGTCATATTAGGTTCCTTCCAAATTCTCTTTGGCGGATGTTGATATATGGTGCTAACTAGCTACAAGTTGAGTTTCTAATGATTTAATTTATTCCACTTATTTTTCATTTCAATCTCTCTTTTTTTTTTTTTTTTTTTTTTTATGTAAAAGAGCATTCAATTATACCATAACATACAAATTTTAACTAAGCAATAATTAATAATAGATTGTCCCTTAAGAATTAAATTATTCCTATTTTAGGAGTTATTTGTTGTATGATTCATAAATATATATTAATGGATATATATTTTTACTAATACAATAATATCAATTTTTTTGTCATTACAACACAATAACGTATAATTGATGTTTATAATATAAAAAAATAGTTATATTAAGAGTATAGATAGAGAAACAACTATTATTCCATTTTTGTTCATTTCATTCTCATATCTCTTATGTTAGAGAGCATTCTTTCGTATATTCCAAAATATTCAAATTTTATTTAATCAAATTAGCAATAAAATTCAACAATATATTACTAAATTAGTAAAGAGAATTATAAATACTCACCGTAATTATTTTTGTGCTTCAAATAAATAAACGTTTGCCACCACCATAGTAATCAAATCAAAATGTTATTTTAACGTGTGGATTATTTTCTTTTAATATCGTTATGGCCTTTTTGAGTTGCTTATTATAATACTTAATGAAAACATTGCATCCAAATTGATTATAATCATTTTTCTTATCACTATTCATGGTTGCCAAAACAGCAGAGTTGCACCCAATTAGAAAGTTTCCTGGTATCACAAGCTTTGTTGCTCCTATTTTTATTAATGTCTAGCAAATAAAAAGAAAAAGAAAAATCAAATTTATAATCAATCATTTATTAAAAGTCCAAGTTTAATTAATTATTAAAATAATTGATAAAATTGATATAACAAAAAAAATAAAAATTCCTTTCAATATCTTACAATTTAAGGAAGAACTACACTCTCTTCCAGGAGCTTGACTTTGTTGACTTTGAGGTAATGGGAGATGATTTCACACTAGTCCTAATTTATGTGAATTAAAATTTATTGTTATTTATAATACATTTATTTTTAAGTAAATAAGTTTGCATTGGGTTGTCTATTGACCATTTTGTCTTATCATGCTCGAACAATTTGATGGTTGATCGTACTAATATTCTTAAGTAATTCGCTTAATTAGTCTTGTAGAGTAAATCATGCTCAAATGAATAGCAAAAGTGATTAAGTACAAGAGCGAGTGTGAATTAAATCTTTTTTTATTTTTAAATTTTTTTACAAAGATTCACAAATTTAAAGATGAGAGAATGAAAATTTTATTAACCCATCAAGTAAAGACTTATGAAGCAGACAATATTATAAAGAATCAAATTCTATAGTATGTAAAGGTTAAAAGAAGAAGAAAAACAACAATATTTATATTGTTCACTCTAAACTTAAAACAACGTCCAATTCTTTGCCAAATCTATTTAAAAGTTTTACTAAATTATAATAATTTTACAATAGTAGAATACGTATTTAATAGTTTTCTGGACTCCTTCAATAACAACCATTCCCATTATCACCATTACAATTCCTAGAAATCCCTATCTAGAACACTATAGTACACTCAAAATTACATATTACAAGAAAATGTTTCACCCAAAAAAACAACAATAGTATAAATATGGAAAGAACCTAAGAGAGAAATAAGTTATACTTTCTACACATGCTTGATCACAATTACAAAACCAAGAAAACCTTCAAGAACTTGTGTAAAAAGTGATACAAGTGTTTGATCCAAAATTGTATATCAAATGATTGAGAGAGCAAATTGTTATATAGAGTGTCAGTGACAATTTTAATTGATTAAAACTATCTTTTAATATGTTACTTAACTATAAAATTAATCAATTAAAACTTCATTTTATCATATTAAAATAGAATGACTGTTAAGTAGTAAAAAGTTGATATAATTATACTTTGAATTGTTATGCAATCACTTAATTTATGTTAATTCTAATATATTTTTCTCCTAATATAGGATGAATTCGAGAATACCTTGATACAAGAACAAAGATCATAATTGTGAAGTAATTCAAGAAAAATTGAAAGAAAGAAGAACGCTTAAGCGAATGAATGATGCGAAGTCCGACCCAAATTCTCTTACAAAAAGATAAGATGTGTTTTGAGAAAGGAGACAGTTTTGGAGAAGAAGAGGTGTGACTACTGCTAGGGTTTCGTCTAATCTTCATCAATTATTCATTTCTTCCACATTTAGAGCATTGTAATGACCAACATGAGTGTCTAACTTCATTCTCTTGGGATTGAGTGCACTTCCTTTGAACTCTTTTGTATCATGGTGATATTTTAAGATATTAATCTATGTTTTGATGTTGTTATTCTTATCATTTGTGCTTTGAAATGATTTATTCTTGATGTTTAGGGTATGATTGGAAAATATATCTTGAACCCTAGATCACGGTAAGAATATTTGTTACGTTAATTTCCAGGAATGGAATGAATATATCAATTGCTTAACACCCTAAACCTAATGCTGAAAAATCTCTTAATTGTGTGAGGAATCAACATTTATTAGGTTTTCTTATGAACTTTATGTGTGAGGAATCAACATGGATGATTTGAGTAGGTGACATTAACATTGTTAGGTTTATTGACGTTCTTAATTGACATAGTCATTACAAAAGAGGGATAAGGAAGGAAACCAATCCTAAGTACCTTTAATTGATATTTTCTCAACAATTTACAGTTCTTTGTCATTTAATTTCAATTCAACTCTTATTGCAAAACTCAAGTTGTTTTAATCTACTTAGTAAGCATAAAATTGGGAATTTCCATTGAAACCGTTCCTCGTAGGATCGACTTTTATTTAATCGAAATACTATACTGAGATTGATAATTTTGGTACGCTTGCCAATAATTCAATAAGTATTTTTGGTGCTGTTGCCGGGGAACAGTGTTCTTTGAGAATTCTTAGTTTAGCTTATTAAGTATTTTATTTTTATTTCTGTTTTTTCTTTATTTTTCAGTTTTTGTTTTACTTAATTATTGACTTGTGCTAATCTTTGCTTGAGTTATTCTTTTGATTTATGCATTTAAGAGGACATGTATCTTTAGAGCAGTTAAAATTTAATCCAGAGATTTAAAAAACCGCTCGGAGGAACTAGGGTAGAAGAAGAAGGGAAACTCAAGAACAAGCCATAGGAGAATCTGCCAAGTTTTCTTCTACACTCAATTTACCAGACCCAATTATAGAAGATATGGCAGAAGACAGAGCAAATCTAAATCCAAATCCAAATCCAAATCCAAATCAAAATATAGATTCAAATCCGCCTAGAAGAACTCTCAGAAACTATGTTATGCAGCAAGGTCCGAGACACTTTTCCAGCATTGCCATACCGGATGATCAAACATTGCAGATGAATCCAACTTTCTTAAGCTTGATTAGTGCTCATCAATTCACTAGATTGGATCATGAAGACCCTTATATTTATTTGTCTACATATTATGAGTTGATTGGTACCATGGGATTTAGAGCAGCAAATCTTGAATCTGAATATTTGAGATTATTTATTTTTTCTTTGGCAGGTAGGGCAAAGGAGTGGCTGAAGGCACATCCTAATCAGAGTTTGACTAATTGGAGTAGCGTAGAAGAGAAGTTTCTAAACAAATTTTTTCCACCATCTTGCTGCATCAAAGCAAAATCCGACATCACTTCTTTCAGACAAGGAGCAGATGAATCTTTTTGTGAAGCATGGGAGAAATTTAAATCACTATTGAGAAGATGCCCAAATCATGGATTTGATGACATTGCTCAGTTGAATATTTTCTATACTGGCTTGGGACATGATGCAAAAATGCTATTAGAGGTTGCAGCAGGAGGATCCATGTTGGATGTAGAAATTGAACATGCCACAAGAATTATTGATGCACTAGCTTTTACAGACCAACGAACCCAACATGATAGACACCCAGTTCAAAGAAAGGGAGTACTTGAACTTAGCACCTCAGATGCTATCTTAGCCCAGAATAAAATTTTGACTCAAAAAATTGAAGCATTGAACCAGAAAATAGAGAAGTTACCTCAACAAATACACACAGTACAATCCATTCCTAACCAACAAATGAGTTGTGATGTGTGTGAAGGTGATCATGTAAATGAACAATGCTCTTATCAAGGCAACATTCAACAAGAAGAAGCTAATTATATGGGTGCTCAAGGTAGTAGTCAAGGCAGACAAGGTAATTTTCCTAATCCCAATAATTATCAGAATAATTTTGCACAAGGATGGAGAGGGAATCAAAATCAGAATCAAAATTTTGGGTGGAACCAAGGTGTTAGCTCATCTACTAGACAACCTACATTTCAACAACAGTCATATCAACAACCTCTATATCAACAACAACAACAACATTATCCTTCAATGCTTGACATAATGAGTAAATTGGAGGATACTTTTGAAAAATTCATGCAAAGCACTATGACTAATCAGAAAAATATTGAGGCTTCATTCAGTAATATAGAGACCCAGATAGGCCAACTGACTAAGTAATTATTTGAGCAGCAACAAGGAGGACAATTTTCAGCTAACACACAAACCAACCCCAAGGAGCAGTGCAATTCAATAACTACAAGGAGTGGTAAGATTATA